CCACCCGATCAGCAGTTTAAAAGCTTTATTGTTCAGCACTACAGCAGAGATGGAAAAGGTGCATTAGTCTCTGTTTGAGCCTTCTTCCTCCTTACCATGGAGCAGTGCGTGCAGAGCACATTCACAGTGCAGAATCCCTCCCGTCAGCCCACCTGTGATCAGGCGGAGCTTGGTTTCAACTTCCTTTTAATTTGTTCGGTCCAATGTGTATTTGACTTGGAATCTCTGTGTAGTCCCACGCAAACAACTTTTGAACCCTAGCAGATTACATGTGCGGTCTGTGTGTATTTAATATGTGCAGGCTGCATGCATGCTTTAGGGGGATTTGTTGGAGGCATAGTACATCTATGTGCTAATTTGTGAATACCGCAATGCAGTCAGATAACTCCTTTGATGGAACTATAGAGGTAAAAGGGGTATTGTCATGATTCACAGACCTAAATAGCAGTCTGCCTCAGAAGATGGTCTATATGAGGAAATTTAGGTTCTGTCCTATAGACAAGTGCATTTTTCTCCTTCCTTCTTTCTTTGTTATCACTGTAAATAGATTGTAGATTACGACAGTGATTTTCATGGTGATGGCAATATTGGTTAAATCAGTCTGTGAATGAAGTTGTCTTGCATTCTTGTTCTCTAGCAGCAGTACTGCAGTATATGTCCTGCCCATTACACCCACGTCTGGTTTGGGTAGATAAAATTTCTTAATTTCTCTATGGAGCTTTAAAAAGATGGGTGGGGTGGCGGGGGGAGGTTGAAGGGGAGAGAGAGATGTATGTATGATTGCAGTACAGCATGGCCAGTCCCTGGTGTGAGGCTGCTGTTTTGCTAGATTGGTTCTGGCATCAGAGAGCGCTTTGATGCTATCTTACCATATTTATTACAGAAATTAAGCGTCACAGGTTAAGTGTCACCTTTACATTTCCTCCAACCTGTGCAAACCTATTCCTATGCTTGTTGGGTCTAATTTGGTATTAAACAATACTGACTTCACTGTCTTCATGTTATAAGAGCCTTGGAGGTGTCTTCATTTCATTTCTCTATACTGAACAGAGCAGTCTTCCCTGGTCCCTCCTCTGAAATGTCACTGCTTTTTGCAGTCCCTGGAGGTGAAGAGCATCGATCTTTGGACGTGGGAGTTAGATACAGGCAGACTACCGAAACGAGCCTTTTCTCCCTTCTCCACGTCAGCAGCTTGTCCCTGGGCTCTCCACAACACAGCGCCCGAGCTGCGGCTGCTCCACCCAGAGACTTGGTGCTTGTAGCAATGCCTCTGCTGTGAGGAATAAATGAAATACGCCAGTAGTCCATGCTCATGGCTCTACAGGCAAAAAATAACGGGGAGAGGGCATTTTTTGGGGCGGGCAGGGAGTACTCGGGCAACACCTGGGCTGGGCAGCAGCGCTCTGTGTGCTCCCAGGTGCCAGGCAGCTCCGGGCTCGTCCTCCCGAGGCAGGGACCAGCCAGGAGGGCTTCGTCTCCTCTGGTATCCGTTCCGCAGGGACACGGGCGGTCGTGGTTTAGCTGAAAAGCCCATGAGTAAGGGCTGGAAAGAAGCAGGCGTTTGCCCTTGTGAGCACAGCTTTCCTCACTGCTTCAGCAGCACCAGGGCTGAGGTGCGAATAAGGCAGCAGCTGATGACAGTGCCAGGAGACATCCACGCGGGATTTTGGCAACCCAAAGGGAGGTGCTGTGGCCACTGGGGAGGACTTTTACCCCCTGTTACAACCACTTCAAGTGACCAAAGGGAGAGGAGGAGTAATTTAAAATGCAATCTCTGCTGATGAGGGGGGAGGGAACGGTTATTGTAATATTAAAGCATTATTTTGGGAAAATTCTATGTGGCCCTGTAAAGAAAAGGCTTTAAAAGATTTAGCTGCTTAATCCTGCTTATCTGCTGTTAGATCTTCACAAAATCTCCCAGAGAGATTCAGAGCGGTATACGAATGCCCAGACCTCACCCAGCATCCCGGCAGCTCCCTTTTCCCTAGCTTAGAGGTTGGGGGAGAGGGAACGTGCAGCTCGCTGTGTGTGTAATTGCTCCAGCTAATGAGCAGCAGTCTTTTTTTTCATAAATGGCCAATGATCTTTACGTTTGTATGCCGAAAATGTTCAAATAGTTCTGATTATCTGGAGAATGCTCTGTGCCTTCTCCCAGATGGAATACAGAGCTGGAATTAACTGAAAATGCTTTAATGATGGTATATTACTTGTAATTATTCTGTGGCTTTCATTCTGCTTTCACCTTCGCTGAGACGTGTTCCCTCAAAGGACGCTTGTAGCAATTCTTAAATCTTCCAGTAACTGCAGAAATGCAGGTGGAGAGGGATCAAAGCTTTGTCAGCAGAAAAATATGGTTTGGATAATAGTTGATCTAGAACTTATGGAATACTTTCCAATGTATTACTGACATTCAATTGAGTGAAATGTAAGCGTGGTACTAACTTGCAGTATATGGAAGGTCTCCAGAGCCAGGTAGCTAAAGCCACTTCTATATCTGCTATCCTCTGTTCGAGGAGGTGTTTTTTCTGCTGCATTTCTACTTGTTGAGATTATTAAAATGTAGGATTTAATTTCCCCCCTCTCAGGCATCTAATGAGGCATTGGGTGTTGCTTCTGAAAAAAAAATGTGATTACTTACTGAAGTTACAGGCTGTATATTTTTAAGACCTCTGAGGAGGTGCAAAGACGCTTGTGTCAGTAATGCATTCCTATGAGACGGTATCAGCGTTTGCTGTGCAGACACCTATTGGGCTGTTTTGTTTAGTTACTAGAGACTTGAAGCTACATTGCTTTAAAAATAGATTTCTTGTGA